TGAGTTGTAATGTTTTGTTTTACAAATAGGATTGTAAATCCTTCTGCCTCTAGTGTTGTAAATTCAAGCACTGTTCAACATTTTGAATATTGATAATCACTGGAAGAACCAAACACAAAAATACTTATGTAATTTTTTTCTTAAATTCAGTAAATTTTTATTTCAAAAGTGATGTCAAAGGGTTTCTAATTTTTCAGCATAAAATCTGTGTATATATGTGTTTGTATGTAATTATTATAAGGAACGAAGTCATTTCCCAATTAGTGATAATCATGCATAACATTTTTAAATGTTTTTAGTGTATGATATGTATTATTGTTTATTAAAGGTGAAAAATAAGATACATTTATCAATACTTCAGGGCATTTGTACCCCTTGAATAGAAAGAAATCTTAATAAGTGTAGAGATGTCAATGTCAAATAAAACACATGAGTTTATTCATTAATTCAGTTCAGATGGGTTATATAGATACATAGGCGGAGATCAAAGGATTGTTTGTATGTGTTATGTACAGCCAAAATCTTTGTGTTATTTGTTTTTATATCTACACAGTTGAATTATTTCTGTAGAGCAGTGACAAATCTTTTTTCATAAATTTATGTATTACGGGTAGTGATCTATACAAATTTCCTTTTGTGAATTATAATATATTCATGACTTGGCAAATATTTGTTTATCTGATTCACTTGTATGTACATGCCTCTACTGCAGGGGTATAACACATTTCCACTAATTGCTTTCATTAGCAACACATTTTTATGCTGATATTGAATGAGTTTTTTGTCATTAACTATGAAACTATTTTTAAAATATCAGCTTTAATGCATCATATTTAGCTCTATGAAATATTCAAATGTAGGGTGTTCTTTTGATGCAAATATACCTGTTTTATAATGTTGAGGATTTAAAGTGAATTAGTGTTTGGTGTTGAGTTATAGATTTCATGCATCATCAACCATGCATAAAGCTGTTGTAAATGATTTCAAGGTCATCTTCTTAACTGCTATATACATGTATGTAATTTGATATTTATGAAGATTTTGTACTACCTTGAAAGCCAGGAGAAGACTTCTTTGTTAATTTTTAGGTATCATATTTCAATGTCGACTTCATGTAAAAAGTTTCACAATTTCACAACTTTGATAGGTAGTATATACAAATGTATTTCCTACACAATTAATTTATAAAGACATTGTTTAATTAAGGACAAAATCACTTGCGTGTCACAGTCAAACATTTGAATCATCACCGCCTGTGTGATTATAATTATCCAACTCGTAGATTCAAAATTGCGTAAAGCAATACAACCAAATTAAATCCATTTTAGGCCCTGACCCTTAGCCAGCAGTAGGGAGCGGGAGTGGTTCAGACCATTGTATGATAGTGAATCCCTACTAACTAAGGAGGTTTCCAGGCAAAATTGGTGATATTGCATTCATCAGCTCAGAATATAATGATGATTTATATAACTAATGCATTTCTGCTATTGAGGGAAGAGGGGGGGGGGGGGGGGGGGGGATCTAAATTTCAAGGGAGATAATTTGTAGCACAAAATTACTGGTGGATTTAAAACTCAAAAAATTAGGAGTTAATATGTTTTTCGTAAACTGAAAAGATAATTAATTAGCTGTTTAAATAAGTCAGCTGTGAAAGGGTCCTAACAATACTGGTATCATATATATGTTTGTGAATTTTACTTTTTCAATGGTGGATGTGACGCAAGAGTTCGACAATGTACATAAAATTGTGACATTCGTATTGTGACATTCGTATTGTGACATTGTATTGGAAACGATTCAACATTAAGACACAAAATTGCTGTGTTCAGAATTTGATGATGGTCATTGAAAACTCTATTTATTTTAATTGTTTGAAACAAAATTTGAATTTAGTATTCTATTTCATTTTGATGTAATTGATGAAACTTGTCTTGATGTTTTCTTTTTTTCCTGGACAGAGCCTAACCAAAATGAATGACTGGTTATATTATATTTAAGTGAATTTAATAAAAAGTGTAATACACAGACCATTGAAATATGGCACCATCTTGCCTTGAGGTAAAAGAATAAATCTGTTAAAATCTATGAATGTTGAAAATAAAAATAAATAAATCATGCAGATGCTGGGGGTTTCCACCCTGTTGCACCTGTAGATGTTGATTTCTGTTAACGTTGCACATCAGGAATGCATTCCTAGTAAGTGTTTTTCTAAGTTTTAAGTGAAAGAACTAGGCCATTGTAAGTGAAAAGAACCAGACCATTGTAAGTAAAAAGAACTATAGGCCATTGTAAGTGAAAAGAACTAGGCCATTGTAAGTGAAAAGAACTATCTATAGGCCATTGTAATTGAAAAGAACTAGGCCATTGTAAGTGAAAAGAACTATAGGCCATTGTAAGTGAAAAGAACTATGGGCCATTGTAAGTGAAAAGAACTATAGATCTATAGGCCATTGTAAGTGAAAAGAACTAGACCATTGTAAGTGAAAAGAACTATAGGCCATTGTAAATGAAAAGAACTATAGGCCATTGTAAGTGAAAAGAACTATCTATAGGCCATTGTAAGTGAAAAGAACTAAACCATTGTAAGTGAAAAGAACTATAGGCCATTGTAAGTGAAAAGAACTATGGTATTGTAAGTGAAAAGAACTAGACCATTATAAGTGAAAAGAACTATGGGCCATTGTAAGTGAAAAAAACTAGGCCATTGTAAGTGAAAAGAACTAGGCAATTGTAAGTGAAAAGAACTAGGACATTGTAAGTGAAAAGAACTATCTATAGGCCATTGTAAGTTAAAAGAACTAGACCATTGTAAGTGAAAAGAACTATAGGCCATTGTAAATGAAAAGAACTATAGGCCATTGTAAGTGAAAAGAACTATCTATAGGCCATTGTAAGTGAAAAGAACTAGACCATTGTAAGTGAAAAGAACTTTAGGCCATTGTAAGTGAAAAGAACTAGGCCATTGTAAGTGAAAAGAACTATAGGCCACTGTAAGTGAAAATAACTAGGCCATTGTAAGTGAAAAGAACTATAGGCCATTGTAAGTGAAAAGAACTAGGCCAATTTAAGTGAAAAGAACTAGGCAATTGTAAGTGAAAAGAACTAGGCCATTGTAAGTGAAAAGAACTAGGCCATTGTAAGTGAAAAGAACTATGGGTCATTGTAAGTGGAAAGAACTAGGCCATTGTAAGTGAAAAGAACTAGGCCATTGTAAGTGAAAAGAACTATGGGCCATTGTAAGTGAAAAGAACTATGCGCCATTGTAAGTGAAAAGAACTATAGGCCATTGTAGGTGAAAAGAACTAGGCTATTGTAAGTGAAAAGAACTATAGGCCATTGTAAGTTAAAAGAACTAGGCCATTGTAAGTGAAAAGAACTATGGGTCATTGTAAGTGGAAAGAACTAGGCCATTGTAAGTGAAAAGAACTAGGCCATTGTAAGTGAAAAGAACTATAGGCCACTGTAAGTGAAAATAACTAGGCCATTGTAAGTGAAAAGAACTATGGGTCATTGTAAGTGAAAAGAACTAGGCCATTGTAAGTGAAAAGAACTATAGGCCATTGTAAGTGAAAAGAACTAGGCCATTGTAAGTGAAAAGAACTATAGGCCATTGTAATTGAAAAGAACTAGGCCATTGTAAGTGAAAAGAACTATAGGCCATTGTAAGTGAAAAGAAAACTATAGGCCAATTTAAGTGAAAAGAACTAGGCCATTGTAAGTGAAAAGAACTAGGCAATTGTAAGTGAAAAGAACTATAGGCCATTGTAAGATTTCAACATTTTCCTATTTTACAGCATTTGTTAAACTCTATAGAACTGTTTTTGTTATGTATATTAAACTGTTTTTCTAGGCTTTTCTGGGGGCTTTTGTGGCCCAGTTGAAACTATTTGATCTGTATACCTATAAATCCCAAAATTTGCTGTTAACGCATGAATATTTCCTTTCTGATTGATATCTGTTCTTCCCAAAATGAGACAAAAAGGCCCAATCCCAAAGTTACCAAAAACATCTGACAGTGATGATATGCTTAAACATGTACAATACAATGGCCAGTTATAATATGCATGGTTCATTCAACAGAGGTTTTCATTAATTAAATTTTGAATGTAAACACATAAACATATTTATATAATAAAGCTGTCACACTGTGCAGGATGTTGCTATATATATAGGCATGTGTGTGGACAGTTCATGTAGATTTGATATACACCATGACTATATGTATGTACAATGATGACCATGTATGTTCCATATCTATACATTATTGTGAACATTTATGTGATACATATGATTTTCTTATTGATCATGTATGATCTCAAATCCAGTTGAGTACATAATGAATAGGCATATATAGTCCCATCTTATTATAAAAACATTTTATGTAAACAAAAAGTATGATCTTATATTACGTTTAATATACATAATGAACTTGTTGGTTTCATACATATATATATATTTGATATAAACCTAATGAGCATATTATGAGCTTGTTTTTATACATCAATGACAATGTGCATGCTGCAGCTGTGATAATGATTAAAACACAAGAAACATTTTCCCACAAGTCCATTATTTTTCATTTTATGACAGAATATTCTTTTTTTCTCTGCTAAAATTAAATTCCTATTTCTGTCTTTCTATTGGATTTGATTCAGTGATTACAATATATATATATATATATATATATGCTGTCTTTTCTCACATGTCTATTTACCCTGAGAATTCAATTCTTAACTAGTTTCATTAGTCTTCAGGGGTGAATGGGTTAACTGAGTTGATCAGGATTTGTTTGCATGACTTCAAAGTGTCTTTTGTTTTGAAATCAGCCATCATGATTTGTAGAGGATGCTCTAATTTGGGATATTTTGCAATATCCCTCTCAATCTGTCACTAATCTATTTTGTGATTCATATGCCTTCAATACGTGTTGACTACGATACTTTGTTTATATATATATATAAAACACAAGTTTTAATACAGAAACTTTTCTCTATTTACAGTTTGCGAAAGTATTGACATCAGGAATTACGTGAAAAATTTCAAGAAGAAGCTGGCAAATTGTACAGTAATTGAAGGATTTCTTAAGATTGTTCTGATTGAGAAACCAAAGCATGGACAATACGATCTACTTAGTTTTCCTGACCTTGTAGAAGTGACTCACTATGTGCTGCTCTACCGAGTGTACGGACTACGCAGTTTGAGCCAGATCTTCCCCAATCTAGCGGTCATACGAGGACAAGATCTGTTCTACTTCTACTCACTGGTCATCTATGAAACTATTGATATGGAGGACATTGGATTAATTGGCTTGACCACCATAGAACGAGGGGCAGTTCGGTTAGAGCTGAATCCGAACTTGTGCTATATCGATACCATCGATTGGACGAAAATTGTTCCTTCCATGCAACTATCAGATCATTACTTCAAGGGAAATAAGAAGATTACGGAATGTGTGAATGTACCCCCGGATAACTGTCCTGTGACCACTGTTGATGGGAAACGTGAACCCCGTAGCTGGAATTTACATCACTGTCAAAAACTGCTAGGTAAGTTTAGGCACAAGTTATATAATTCACAAGTAATTAAAACGATAAAACATCAACACCTATATGTGTAGATTCCGCGTAGTTTATTTACGGGAAGATTGTAAGTTAGATACTCAGAAAATCAAGGACTTATGAAGTATTCAAAGTATATTCCCTTTCTAATTTACTGTCATTGCTCTTAAGAGTTAATTTCTAAACAGATTTCGTTAAAACTTTTATACAAAGCTCAAGTACATAAGTGAATACCCTGGTTGAGATCGTAATTGGGGTTACAAGGTCAAAGCTATTTATATCTATATATATAATCATCAACAAATTCATTGTCATCACTCTCGTGTTTTCATTTCTGTACAGATTCTGATAAAATGATAAGTGTAAAGGTTAAAAATAAGAATACATCTTGATTGGATAAGTCCATGTTTGGGGATAGCAGAGGTAAAGGTCAAGGACTTTGTTACTATTTATAGAAATTTACCAAACAATAAAATTGGTGTTATGTTGCTGCAGGGGCGTTTCTGTCTCATTCCGTGAGGGTATAATATGTAAATGAACGTTTCTCATTACCTCATGATCAGTCTGCTCTACATTCCCTTTTCTATCCTATTTTTTCTTCTTCAAATCTGTCTCTGTATCAAGTGTCAGTGTGCCATGTAATTAGTCTTGTTTATTAAAGTCTACATAAAAACTGACAGACGCAGAAAAACACATCAAATAAAAATGTCTTTAAACATTTGATCATGACTGATGCAAGACAGAAAAAAGCGCAAACCTGTACAGTGGGCAAGTGTGATAACGCTGTTTGATTCGTAGGGTACAATTGGAAAGTACCGAATAGATCCAAGTGAAAATTGTTTACAGTTAAAAAGGTAGTATGCAGGCATGCATCTTTGGTTGGAATGACGGTGAAGCATGAAGGAAGATGTCTGCTGTGTTTAATCCGTTATCTCTACCTTGGCTGTGTGCATCCTTGTATATACTTCACTGCCAGGCAAAGGTCTGGCATAGGGACCTGTGTGGTGAGTTGTGGGACTCAGACTGGGACTGCCAGGCACGGTCTGGCATAGGGACCTGTGTGGTGAGTTGTGGGACTCAGACTTGGACTGCCAGGCACGGTCTGGCATAGGGACCTGTGTGGTGAGTTGTGGGACTCAGACTGGGACTGCCAGGCACGGTCTGGCATAGGGACCTGTGTGGTGAGTTGTGGGACTCAGACTGGGACTGCCAGGCAAGGTCTGGCATAGGGACCTGTGTGGTGAGTTGTGGGACTCAGACTGGGACTGCCAGGCAAGGTCTGGCATAGGGACCTGTGTCGTGAGTTGTGGGACTCAGACTGGGACTGCCAGGCAAGGTCTGGCATAGGGACCTGTGTCGTGAGTTGTGGGACTCAGACTGATCTCGTCATATGGACTTGAGTTTTGAGTAGTGGGACATTGCGACTTAAATTGGCAGTCATAAGAAATGCCAGTTCCTGCTCTAGTCTAGCACATCAAAAGGAAGTCGTGAGGATTCCAAATCCACAAATCTTGTCCGACACAAAGAAATTTGTAAAAAATTCTTTTTTATAAAGGGCATCTTTTATAGGGACCTACGACTTCATAACTTACATAATACTTCATTACCATTTGAATCTGAAGCATTGCACCCAGTTCATGCAAGCTGGATACCAGGGTGTGATGTAACCATGACATTATTATGTCTTGGACGCTGGCGTGGATATCACATTAACAATTTAGGGGAGGTTGGATACCAGCTTGGGTGTGATAGCACATATATGTAATTTAGGTGGGGTGAGATAGTACCAAATTGACAATTGGGTTGGTGTTGGATACCAGGGTGTGATCCTCAGTAGCAGCCTTGGAGATAGGGGTGACACAGGATAAACTCTCCTAGCAGCTGCACAGCACTGCAACTTACCTGGAATGTCCTCTGTTGAGGAAAACAATACACAATTATTCCAGGTCATCATGACCTTACACTTACCTGGTATAAACACTATTAAGCAGACCAGCTTGTAATGTAATTCCCCCCATGCATACTAATGCTGTACTAGACTTTCCACTTAATGTTAAAGTGTTTGTTAACAGCAACACGTACCCTTTAGGGTGGTCGGGTAATGGAATTAATAACACACTTGCCTTTCTCCAAGATGGCCTTGGTTCGATTCCCTGGTGAGACTTGAAAAGATACCTGTGAATACGCCAGGTACTCTATTTTCCTGTCACATTATGACCCCTCTGAAGCTACCATGCATCTATAAGAGCAAAACTTATCATAAAAGTTGATTGAAAATGTCTCATAATTATTGAAACATAACATAAGTTTAATTATCCTTGAAATGAAGTTTTGGGTGCTTATTTTGAGTGTAAGGATTAATGATGTTTACTGCTAGACAAACACGGACACCAGGGGGAAGAATGAAATGGCCATTTCCAATATATATATATGTGGATCAGTGTTCAGACATAGCATGAAAACAATTCAGGCAACTATTTTAGCTGTAAATGTTTTGCACTCTGAGAAACAGAAGAGGACAGGATGAATTTCAATACATGATTGATGAAACGACGGGTGATGGAATGAATTAACAGTGTATACATATCTAAGTTTACGAGAATGGATTTATCAAACCTGTACAATTAAACACTGTGCGGATACATTGTATTATGTTTTGATGTAGACTTTCACTAGTAGGGAGGGCTTGTTAACAACAACTCAGTTGCAGGTGCCTGAAAGAACAACACCGTTTCCTATGTGATAAAACCGCCCTGAAGAGTAAGGTGTTGGCTAGGGTGCAGTACTTGGCACCATTGTAATATAAGATATCACACCAATTGGAGTCGAACACACTCCTATTTTACTACTTCAAGGAGACAAATTCACAGCTTTTGTGCTTTGTAGCTTACTGTATTGCTGCCATACATGTTTTGGCCAAAGATCAAATACTTGGATGTGTGTGGTTATGGTTTGATGTACCTCATCAGTCTGGAATGAAAAAGATATATATCTCAGATATGAAATATTCTAGCTAGCACGGTGTAGTTCAATAAAGCCTCCTGTTACAAGACCAGTAAATTACTATGAAAGTGACAGTGATTTGTGTTCAGAAATATGACCCAATTTCTAAATGGTTATGTGTAATATATATAACATTAGAATTAAAAATCTTCTGTATTTCCCCAAATTAACCCCCCACCAACCAAAAGTAAAAAGAGGGAAAAGGGAAGAAAGATATAAAAAGAAAATGATGAAAAGTTTATTAGAAATACAAAATAGAAAGCTATTTCAAAAATTTTCCATATTTGTTGGTAGGCTTAAAGATAGTTATCCATGTTTGTCGGTAGGCCTGATGCTAGCTTATATTAGTTATAGCCGGAGCAAGTCATGTCATACACAGCATTTTAGTACCCAATACTCTTAATTATATAAGTATTGTATGTTAAGATAAAAAATGGAATTCATGTCACATTTTAACAAGGCATACATGTATGTAAATAATAATGTAGGTACATATATATATTACTTGTGTATTACTATACCATCTTTAATTTTCCACATGTGTTTTGAAGCATTTGAAGCATTATCAAATGATTTATCTTTCTTCATACAAATTAAATTACTTGCAGTACAGTGTTAGAATGCATGCATATCATTATAAACCTAAATATTACAGACAGACATAACTTCCCGCTAATGCGTCGAAGTCCTTAATTGTTTCTAACTTTTCATAAATATCCAGAAGACTTGTAATTGGAATCTTCAAGTCAGAGGTACGTGTTTTTTATACGACCGTCAAATTTGAGGGAATTATTATGGTAAGGGGTTGTCCGAACTTTTGTTTGTCGGGCAATCTCCTCCTACATTCTTCGACCGATCTCTTTGAAACTTGGTATACATTATAATCATGATATGAAGTTGTGTCTCCCTTAAAAGAATTTTGATTCAACAACTTTTCCAAAAGTAATTGTCCTTTGTTCATTTCAGTATTTGATTTTTTGTCTGTAGATCTCCTCCTACATTTTTTATAGCATGTCAGCTAACCACTCTTAGAATGATGCAGATCTTATTTCAATGTAAGAAAGTATATAATACTAATTGGCATTCGACGGGCATATATTGTTCCGCCCCGCGGTACTCTTGTTCAATTAGTGTATCATTGCAACTTTCTCTTATTTCTAATAAGTTGCAATTGGAAACAATGTTAATCCTATATTTAATTTGTTATGATCGTATATTGTTAGGCATTGTCTTTTTTTTAATGATTTAATATTTTACTTATTTTTTGTGAACAATATCACAGAAATGTTCTTTATAATTATATTGTGAAGTACAGGTTGGTATTTGGGGTGTCTATATGAGTAATTTATTGATTATTAAAATAGTGTGGTTAGTTGCATCGTACACTCCGGATCCTTATCTGGTTATTTGGGATGAGTTACTCTTGGGTTGGGTATTTGGGGTGGAGAAGTTGATACATTATTTTTTATTATTTTTTCTTTAACTAGTATATCATTATGATGTACATTCATTCAAAATACATGTCACTTATTTGTTTACACACGCGAACTGCCGCCCTGGCAAGCATGGATTGTATTAATATCCTGTACGTATAAGCTGTAAACTTTTGGAAATAAAATGAACATTGAACATTGAAAGTTATAAAGGTGTACCTATATATTTAACTTGAGCAGGGTTGGGTATTGTAGAATGAATACTAGAATTTGGTACTTGTATACGTATTGGGTCATATTCCAGAACTGGGTATTAAGGATATACTATAACCAGAAATACAATATTTATTGGATATACCAGAGTTGGGTATTTGGTATGTCTTTTGACTGTAGGGACATTCTCTGTAACTCCATCATTGGGAGAACACGGCTAATAATCTTAAGTCCTTGAGTTGGCTATTTTAAAAAGTGACCTTAGAAATCTTGGTTACACTGCAATCTTTTTAACCTTCGTTTTGCAAGCATGTTTGTAATATGAAAGCCTCTAGGACA